GACATACAACTCGACGAACGAGATTCAAGCCACAAGACTACTAAACTCGGGGCGCGGGGACTGGTAACGAAACAACGTGCGTCGAGAATAGTGTGCTGCCTCGCTGGTGCTCGGCAGCAATAAACGTTGACTAACATAGATAATGAGTTATTATTATTATTATTATTATAAATTTCCAAACTAGCAGTAACAACTGAATTACTTTGGAATTACAGGGTATAAGAACATAGGTATTTAATCTATTCTATATTTACAGGTAAAAATAGGTAAGTTAGATAAAAATAACGATAATAATCTAAAGTTTACTTATTATTATAAGCACGAGACGCAGCAGGAATGAAACTGTTCGAAAACGTTCAGTTCTACACCTAGGTACTAATAAGTTGGGATAAGACCTCAGATTATAAGTTTGAAGACTTTTAGGCGGTACTAAGGCATTCAGTTTATGAGTGGGTTCCAACATCTTCGAAAAAAGTCGCTTGCAATGGACAGTTCTACGTTCGTAAAGAGTCGTCAAGTTAGCTTTAAGCAAACATTCAGCATAGATAGTTCCAGGGAAAATAATTTTTAACGCCCTTTTTTGTATTTTTTCAACTTGATTACTCAGGTAATAAGGAAGGCCATAATGCCACACCTGACAAGCATATTCGACAATTGGTCGAATATGTGTACAATAGGTTGAGATCAGAATATGAGAAGGTAAAGCATTTCTTTTAAGAAGGCGCAGACCGTACAAACGCTTCGCGGCTTTCTTCCAAATGTAGTCAATATGGCAGTTCCATTTGAGGTCGTCCGAAAGGACAACGCCCAATAGTTTGGCCTCGGAAACGACGTCGACCTCTTGACCGCGAATGGTAATAGGGGCAAACGATGGGGTAAGCTTAGAAAAGCAGACACGCAATTCTTTGGTCTTTGATACATTTAACTTCATATTATTGTCTGATGACCATTCAGAGCAGCTGATGATGTTAGCGGGTAACTGGGAAGGGGAATTGTTTGATATTATTTTCCAAAGGCTAGTATCATCGACAAATTTAACAGTTTCATCCACTACAGCCAAGTCATTTATCATGATCAAAAATAATAGCGGGCCAAGCTTCGTTCCTTGTGGGACGCCGGCGTTTAAAAACTTCCACTCAGAAAAGAACTGACCAACACGGGTTCTTTGTTGTCTGCCTGTTAGGAAGTTTGCGATCCAGTTGAGTAACACGGGATGAATTTCCATGTCTTTCAATTTTTCCAACAGAATGTTATGATCTAATCTATCAAACGCCTTGGCAAAATCAAGTAAACAAATCCGTATAGTGTTGCCTTGTTTGTCAGCTGCTTCAAACCATTTATGTAGCATGTAGATTAATGCCATACTAGTGCTTGAACCCTTCAGCGAACCAAATTGCAAGGAATCAATTTTTTTGAGACGGAGTCAAGTAGCCATTTGTAGGGAAAGGATTCAAGAATCTTGCTGATAATTGGTGTGAGGGAGATTGGTCTGAAGTCAGAATCAACATCTTTAGGAGGCGAAGATTTTTGAACTGGTGTAATATTTGCTGCCTTCCATATTGAGGGAACAAATCCTTCACGAACTGATGAATTAAAAATAGAACACAAAGGTCGACACAACACTGAAGCGTTTTCCCGGAGAAGCCAAGAAGGAATTTCATCGGGACCAGCAGATGAATGAAGTTTAGATGATAATAGGGCCTTTTCAGTCTCCTCGACAGAGATGCAGAAATCATCTGGAATGTCATTTGTGGGAAGGGGGAGCCAGTTTAGATTGGGTAAGGAGGACCCTACAGCAACGAACTTGTCGTTGAGCAAATTTGCTAAATCGGCATCAGAGTAGGATTTACCTTGGAACATCATTGTAGATACATTCTTAGAAGACTGAAGACCGGCAATATTCTTCACCGCTGACCACCATTTACGAGAATCGGACTGTTGAACGCCCGCGATACTTTTATTGTAGTAATTTAGTCGTGCTTTTTTGCAAAGTGCATTGACTTTGTTTCGATAGAATCTGAACATCAGGTTATTGCCAGCCGCCCATGCTGTTTGCCGCTTGGAAATAAGAGATTTTATTTCGGAAGTAATCCAAGGCTTGTCACTAGAATCAATTTTGATTTGTTTCCAAGGCAAATGTTCGTTTATGATATTATCAACGATGGTGGAAAAATACTGGAACTGCTCGTCACAAGATTCCATATGGTGCAAAGGTAACCAATTAACTTTCGACAGATGATCGCTAACAATTCGACGATTGGTTGGGCGAGAGTCTCGTACTAAACGTGTAGACCTTGTGCCACCATAAGAGTTAGCTGGAAGAGGTTTAAGAACGATGGAATTATGATCGGAATGTCCAATTGGAGAAATTACCAGGGCAGAATTATAAAATTTGGAAATGTTGGTAAATATTTTATCTAAAATATTCTTTCCTCTAGTAGCGTCTTTGACTAACTGCTTGAGGTTAAAGGAACTGCATAACTGGCGATGTTTAAATTGGTTAAAATCTCCGGCCAAAATAATTCCTGCACCGGGATTGGTGGAAAGGACAGAATCGATTGATTCGGTAAGGTGTGAAAGAAGAGCTTTATCGTCACTTCCAGGTGGATGGTACACGATTCCCAATACAATTGAATTTAAACCACGAGGCAAGCGGTGAGGTTTTAAGAGTAACCAAAGCGACTCATATTCGTGACTTTCAATCTCTTTAAGATGAATGAACGGAAGCATGTCCTTTACAAAGACACAGACTCCACCTCCTCGTCTGCCGTCAGAACGATCATGCCTCAGTAACGAATAACCGCATAAATCTATTGCTGAATTAGGAACATTTGAAGAAAGCCACGTTTCGGTAACAACGACAATGTCTGATGTATAGGATTTTACTGTAGCAGACAGTTCGTCAATCTTGCTGATCAGCGATCTTGAATTAGAAACAAATAAATTCGGTAGAGAAGAGAGTAAGGGCGTTTTTTTGGTTTGGTGGCCACTAATATAAATTAAGTTATTTCTACGGTTGAAACTTTTCCCTGGTACTGGAACCGATTGATGCTGTAGTGTTCTTAATTGACTAGGTTTTGCATTTATTTTTCTTTGAAAGTTTGATACGCGATGGGTTATTCTCACAGGAATTTTTTGAACAAGAAGTTCCACGGGAATCGAACTGTAATTTTCATGCGATTCTCTCTCATTTTCTTTAGAATCTACTTTGCCGTCAGCCGGCGAACAAGATTTAAATGCGCCAACCATTCCGCTCTTCGAACATGAGGCAAGGGCGGGGGACGCTCCGGAAAGCTCTGCCGAAAAGGACAGTTATTAGTATTGTCACACTCAGACATGCATTCGTCGCCGTCTAAGACAATAAATTCAGAGATATCAGCTGGTATTTGGCCAATGCACACATGCTGAGTAACTGTCCCAGTGCTAGTTGTACTATCATTCAATATATTTGATGGGTTTTCTAAAAAGGGTTCCTTCTTCTGAGTTATAAATGGCTTGGATATTTCGATAAGAGGCAAGTTTCCAAGCGATTTCAGCGACAATGGCTCACAGTAAGGGGGAGAATTAAGATTGCGTCGAGAGTAACTTCGCGAGACCTTAGTTTTACTGATTTTGTCGTTATTCATATTATGCTCCGTTAACTTCACTTTGTTAATTTCACATTTGTTGTCGAGTTTATTGTCGGTTCTATTACAACTTGCTGGTTGGACAATTAAACATGAATTATCAAGGGGGCTTTCAACGCTGACAGTTTCGGGAATAAATGGTTCACCTGGTAAACAAATTCCTAGGTTTGAATTTGCAGTTTCTATCGATTTTACAGTGTCTATGATGCAGTTAGAAGTATTAATTTGTTCAGGTTGGTTTGACAGGCTTTGTTCGGCACTCAATACACCATTGAATTTTTCTGAATTAATTTGCATTAGCGATTGTCTTAGAGATTCATTTATGACATCGCTTGATTTAAGTTTGTTTTCGAGACAGGTAATGGTATTTTTTAATTCGTTTATCTCCCTATTCCTTCCTCGAACCAAAATAGATATATCAGCCTCCAACTGACTACATTTCTCCTTTTCCTTAAGAAGCTCGTGTTTAAGTTCACTTATTTGTTCACTATCACCATCCCGCGAATTGAAAGCTGCAAGGAACTTAGTTTCTATGTCCCTGCACATGATTGCTATATCGAGCTTAACTCCCTCCAAATCAGCAGCTAAAATTCTACACTGACAGCCAAGTTTGAAATCATGCTCTATACTGACCTTTTGATGATTATCAGTTTGTTCAAAGTCCTTAATACAGTGATTAGACATCTGTAATGATTTCCAAACTGTGTACTCTATATTAACTGACATGGGGAACTCCACATTGAATACGTAAAAGAAGGCTGCAACACAATGATGCATGCAAAAGCACCAATATGCTTCAACTTCTGAAATTTTCATTCTATTTCTACCAAATTTGCCATGAATATAGAACATATCGTTCTTACAAAACGTTTTTTTGTTTTGTTTTTGGAATTGCTACTTTTTGGCGGGTAAATTACGTCACAAACGTGGAGCCAAACAATTAAAATAAGCTATTGGTGATTTTACTGAATCCATTTGTAGAGCAGACCAAGGGTACTTTAATTAAAACTGAAATCTGGTTCTAAATACAACCATTTTATGGGAAGACATAGCGATACAAATGTCGAAAAATCCGCATATTGTTATTAAAAATAGAACAAAATGGCGTATTTTTAGAAATTTAAGTCATATCTTCGCAAAGAATGGTTGTCAGGGTGTGATAAAAGAATAGCTGTATATAATTATATATTATGAATACGTAAATTAATGGATTATATAAGGAGCCCAGAGTTTGAAGCGAGCAGAGGAAAAACAGGACAAGCAAGGAAGGAGTTCCTAAACATTCAAAAACCGACGAAGACCGTCAGGAGACGAACAACTTGGAAAGACATCTTGCTTTTGTTGGAAGTATAACTATATACGCCCAAGTTCATTTGAGATCGACAGAAAACCACCTCGAAGCGATTTAAGAATGTTCTGTTTGTCAGCAAGTTTCGTCACGCTTTTGTTCATAAGACATAGCCATTAAAATTCTAAACAAACAAGATACGACGCTGTTATATGTTTGATACTACGCAGAAAGTTAAGCGCTGTGGGCTAGCTGAAGAAAGAAGACGTAGCTACACTCTGTTGGACTCGGGTTTGTTAGAAAAATACTTTAGGAAATTAGATAACTCTTAGTAATTGCTGCCTCGTAGAGGCAGCATACTAATTCTGTCGGTCCCAGGCTTTCCGCGAGTTATGTGGAGGAGACAGGGAGAAAAAATCGAGATTTTAGAACAATGAATTGATGACGTTTTGTGACGTATGATTCGTTTCAGCATAACTTCCGGTTTCTTCCCGAATCAGTCTCGTGGTGTGGTTGGCAAGCAGAGGAGGAGTGGTCACTATACCGTGATGCATTGCGATTATTCCAGTTAATTATATATTATTGATTTTCCACGAGCGAGCGCTTATTGTTCGCTTGACCTTCACTATCAAAACAACAGGAGTGAGAAATATGGCGGATTTTGTATTAGCCGATTCACCGCCATAAAGCTTCAGTTTTGGAAGGACACGGTCTTCTTTTTGTTCATTGTGTATCGTGAGAGCCTATGCTGTTGGTTCCTATGGGTTATCGTATGTTCAGTTTCAATGCCGTGAGATTCACATCAGAAGAATCGCTATATTTGTCTCTAAAAGTTGATGAAATCTTCGCCGATTGCAATAGCCCAGCATTGATAGAGTATAGAGATACATTGTGTTTTTAGGGTAAGTCGTTTGTTTTAATCCTTAAAGCCAATACAAAGGCAATGTATCTACGCAATGGTTTTTGCTTTTTCTATGATTCACATTTTTATAGCTAATGTTGGTCACAATATTTGTGCTTTCTATTTTGAATATATGCATATAGAGCTAAAAAATAGTTTTAAGTTAGAGAAGCCAAGACTGTTCATTTGGTTTGATCATAGAAGGTTGATTACTTTGGTATTTTATACGGACTATTAAAGTAATTAACCCATTGAATTGCATCGAGTTGCATTAATTGCACCCTGATGCACCCTACTTTATTATTTTACTCTAATGCCAGATTATTTTACTCTGTCTAATGGCAGCTGGCCTATCTGCCCATGTGCCTAGTTAACCATTGAATCACATTTTGCCCTCATGCGCCCCACTTTAATATTTTACTCTGTCTAACGCTGGCACTTAAAGGGTTAAACAGAAGATTGTTTTTTATATATTGCAGTTCTCTGACCTCAGTGATCTAAGACGAGATGGAACAGGACAATCTTTTATCTTTGGGAATGTTATTTTGTGGGATTTCGATATTCTGCCATTGCCACCTTCTCAAACAATTCAACCTTGAGGTCCAGATACTGTTGATGAAGATTTGGACAGTGTGCTGTCACTAATAAATTTACAAGGGCAAACTGGATATAACTGTGATCTACAACCAATAAATTCTGTGTGCTTGGTGGGTATTACTCTACAGTGCAGCATTGCTGATTGCAAAAAGTGGACCATGGGACATAGGGACAGAGATGATCCAAGAAACAATTATAACAGTGACTAGATTACTAGAATATTGTAAATTGATGTTTGTGATGTTATTCTGAGTGTGCATCCACACCGGGCAAGCTCAAAAGTTTGCCTGACCATGGTGGGAATTGAACCTGCAATTTTTGGGATATTAGTCCAATGCTCTACCAACTGAGCTCAGCTCGGTATGGATGCATACTCTGAGTAACATCACAAATGTATTCACCCGAATAAATAACACCAACACACACAAGAAGTATATTGTAAATTGTTGTTATTTTATTATGGATCCCTACATACCGTAAACCACCGACTACAACCCCTGGGCTTATATACTTTCGTAAGCGATTTTTGATGGGCTTATACAAGGGTGAGCTTATATACGGGGGGGGGCTTATACATGGACGACCTTTTGTGTTAGTGTAATAGTGATAAACAAGACTTAGTGTTAAACAATCACAGCAAAAATAGTGATTAATAGTGGTAATAGTGATAAATAATAGTGATAAACAAGTGGGCTTATATTCGGGTGGGCTTATATTCGGGGGGGGCTTAGATTTGGAATGAGGTGAACGTTAGTAGATGTGGTGGGCTTATGCACAGGGGGGGGCTTATAGTTGGAGGTTTACGGTATTTATTTTATTATGGATCCCTACAATAACAGTGACATAGATTACTAGGCTAATGTAAATTGTTGTTATTTTATTTTATTATGGACAAAATTTCTCCAGATCCATGGATCTTTTTTTGGCAATAGATATCAACTTGATCAAAGCTTTGTTTTCCTCAAAGGTCCATTTATGTTTTTTTCACTGGTGACTTCTCTGACAGAGTCAGCCTGATCTTTCTGCTAGGAAACTACGAAAAAGTATGTCATTTACTAAAATGGAAATTGGGGCGCAGATGACATATGAATAATCATACATGAATAATGTTACACTGCAGAATAATGTTACACAGAGGTATTAAGGTGGAGTAATACAGACAACAAAATTGCTGCAATTTGCAACAAAATCTGATTTCAACGGATGTTAAGTGGAGATGTTGACACATAACTTAATCCAAGTCATAGAAATGTTGACACATGTTGCCTCGTACATGCGTTGAAATCAGATTTTGTTGCAAGTTGCAGCAATTTTGTTGCTCGTATTTACTCCAGCTTTACACTGAATATACAAAGACAATTTATAAGAATAAAATAGCAAAGAATAACAGTACATTTATAAGTACAATTTCGTCTACCATATTTTTTTTATTATACCTTTGCTGATGTGCCAGGACTTTGAAACAAAGCTCGACTGAATGGGGTGAATGAACTTTCCACACGAGATATTTTCCTGGCGTATCAGTAATTTGAGTTTCCTCATTTTCTAAATCATGATCAACAATGACAACATCGCCATCATTAATAAATTCCATTTTTTGCTCCAATAAACTCTAATTCTACAAAAACAAATGATACAATCAGGAACAATACGTTAGAAAAGCTGCCTTGTTTACGTCGCATTCGCGCCATATTTCCTGTAGAATTCCTCTTTTCCCGCGATTGGTGACAACAAAGCAAAAATACCCCATTTTCGAACAACGATTACTCGTCGGTTTCAGGGGGTTATTTATGTTTTAAGGTACCAATAGAAAGAGTAACCCTTATTGAATACAACGATGTGAATTTTATTGAATTTCCTGATTCATAAACCTAATAACCCCCTGCGTATATCAAGGCCGTTTTCGTGTCATGGCACTATACCCGGAATATACCCCATTTTCAAACCGCGATAACTCGTCGGTTGGAGGAGATTATTAATGTTTTAAAGTATCAGCTAGAACCATGATCCTCCCCGAATTCAATGATGTGAATTTTGCTGAATTTCTCGATTTATAAACTATTTAACCCCAGGCGTATATCAATGCCATTTCTTTTATAGCCCCGAAATATACCCCATTTTCAAATCGCGATAACTCGTCAGTTCGAGGGGGTTATTTGTGTTTTGAAGTATCAATAGAAAGAATAACCTTTTCTGAATTCTCTGCTGTAAATTTTGTTGAATTTCCTGATTTAAAAAGTATTTAACCCCCGGCGAGTATCGGAGCCACTTTCGTAACATGTGCACTGTCCCGAAACCAAGGGTAATTCAATGCGTGATTAACATAACTGAAACATGATACGACAACCACATAAAACAAAAATCGTGCAATTAAGGTCACAAATAAAACAATTATAAAAACGTACCTTTCAAAAATCAAAATTTTCAGAGTGAAAAATCGCGATAGAAAACCACAATTTTTCGACAAACATCTCTCAAAGACTCGCAAAGTTCAATTCCGAATATTAATGAGAAGCAATGCATTGTGGTATAGTGACCACTCCTCCTCCGTGCATAACCGATGCTTTGCCTCTTTAGCTCAATAAGTGAACTTGATTTTAATTTTACTTTTGGAGACAGATTTTTCCCGACTTCCCAGCGAGAGGGATATGGATAGATTAATGCACCTTAAATTCAACCCTTTTGACATGCAACACACAACTACCGGAAATAGAGCAGGAAATAATGATTGCGACAATAAACATGCTTAGTAACACTGATAACATCTCATGTAAATACTATCTTCCAAAAGATGTCACGCGAGACATACCAAATAAGAAACTCTTTTCTATTTTGAATCCAAACATAAGAAGTATAGTAAATAAACTCGTCTCTTTTAAGGTGGCTCAATACAGTTTTTGAAATATGACAGAATCGTGATTTAGATTTTATTTTTTGAAGAGAGGTTTCTTGTTAGAAAGCAAAAATTGTGCCACATATATTGGCAATCTCCTAAGAGTTGAAAATTGTTCTCAAAAATGACGTCGTTGCCGTTGCTATGGTAACAATGACGTTTCAATATGGCCAACATTTTACCTTTTAACACATTTTGCTCGAAAAAAGGCTGGTTACCCCATTTTTGTTGCATGCCCATATATGGCATGCAACTATCATATAGCTTAAAATTCGTGTCCGTTGGTGGTGAAACTTGCGGCAGATCACGTGGGACGAGCATAATAACAATAAGCATAATTATAAATTTTGAATCGTGTGCACGTTTTCTTCCATGGTTTTCGTCGAGCAAATGCAAAGATTCGGAGAAAATTTACATAATCGAGCGCCTTAGAAAAATACATCGAGGTAGGTAAAGCTTTGCTGTTTTAATTTACTTTATATTCTGTTATTTTGTTGTGATTTTGGAGCCGCTGTGCTCGCACTGATTATTTATCAGGCGTAATATTATATAGCGTGAAAGGCCATGCATGCACGCTATCAAAATACTAAATTTAAATATAATACTCAAACTAAAGTGGAGTTATTGTGCTCGCATTGATTATATTGTGTGCAAAACTTCAAAACTACAGTAAATTTTGTAAATAACATGAAATATATTAAAAATAACAAACAATTCTCATTAATACTATTGAAATTACAACGAAATAGCATTCTACGTCGATAATTTCAATCGTAGTTTATTAACAATTATTTTCAATCTGTAGTTAAATTCACCGTTTCCATGTTTTTTATACTTTCAATAAGGCTACAGTAAAGCTAAATTTGTAGGAAATAACATTATTTAGTTATAAAATAGTAAAGGAAATCTAACAGTCAATCGCTTTCGATAAAACCTTGACCTTGTTTATATTACCGTCGCCTGCAACTAACGATGAACAGTTGCTCATAAAAACATTGCCTTTTCGCGTGATAATCTAAAGTTTTCTTATTTTGACATAATAGCCAATTTTCAATAAATATATTGATATTAAACTTATTGAATCAATATATTAAGTTTCAAGCCAGTTGTACCAAACGTTATAAGCGCTAGCACATCATAACCAGGGGGCGACCTCTGGGGGGGGGGCGACTGCTTCTGTGTACGGTACTTGCTGAGTGACGAATCATCAATCATGACGAATAGTGCTTACGCAAAAAAAACCCAATGGAAATCGACTTCTGTATAGTATTCTGTGTCATAACGTTTCATGGTTTTGATTAGCCTGAAAACAGACCTACGTTTCGCCCACCCTAAAATTTGCGGGTCGACGGATCCGTAGACTTGCTCCAAGTCTCTCTTTCATTGTCATATCGATCCACTATGGTGTACATTACATGACGTAGCACTGAGAGGCGGAGCGAGAAAGAGAGACTTGTCAACTTCGGAAAATCTCGGTTCAAAACTGAACCGAAAATGCAAGACTTGCTTCAATTGTTTTCTGTCAGTGTTTATATGTATTGATCTAGCACAGTGTAAATAACATGAGTTCCATTATAGTAAATAATACAGAAAGAAGTTGAAGGAAAACAATTAAAGCAAGTCTTGCATTTTCTGTTCAGTTTTCAACCGAGATTTTCCGAAGTTGACAAGTCTCTCCTTCTCGCTCCGCCCCTCCGTAGTACGTCATGTAATGTACACTATAGTGGATTGATACTATATGACAATGAAAGAGAGACTTGGAGCAAGTCTAACGGCTCCGTCAACCTGCGAATTTTAGGGCGGGCGGAACGTAGGTCTGTTTTCACGCTAGCTTTTGATGGCATGCAACATGTACGCACTGCGTACCTATTTTTTATTTCGTGATACGTTTTTGTTTAGAAAAATGAACGATATGAACAAGTTTAAAAAAAACTGTAGATCAGAATTTTTAAAAAATTAAAAAACGTAATTTTTCGTGATAAATATTTTTCGGATCTACAAAATTTTTTTAATCTTGTTCACACAATTCATTTTTCAGAACGAAAACGTTTCACGAAATAAAAAATGGCGGTAATCGGCCTTTTTTTCGAGTAAAACGTGTTGAAAAGTAAAATGTCGGCCATATTGAAACGTCATTGTTACCATAGCCACGGTTATGACGTAATATTTGTGAAGAATTTTCAACTCTTAGAAGATTGCTCAATATATGTGCCCTTCTAATAAGAAAGCTCTCTTCTTTGTCTTCTAATAAGAAACCTCTGTTCAAAAAATTAAATCTAAATCACAATTTTGTCATGTTTCAAAAACTGTAGGAAGCCACATTAAGATTTTCTTCGAATCACTAAAACACTCATTTTCAATAATCAGTTTAACAGAAACTTGGCTTCATAATGAAAACTGTACAGTTTTTAATCTTGATCATTTCTGCAGCAGAAAACTCTGCAGCCTCTGCAGCAGAAACTGCAATTTTTCACAGTCTGAAAAATGTAATTTTAGAATCTACGGTCAATAAGCTTTCTATCGATGCCATACTCGTGTATCAAAAATCAGTTCATGAAGAAACAAAGCAGGTTATTCCAGGTGCATAATCGCAAAAGACGTGAAAGTTAATATTATGCGGTTTCCAACCTGATGTTCTATCGATTTTCAAGGCCCTTGTAGCAGAGACTTGAATTTGGGCTAGCCTGAAAGTTGTATTTCTGGAATCTACGATCCATCAGCTTTCTGTTCATGCCTCATTCGTGCATCACTAGGCCGGATGTGGAGATAAAAATCAGTTTTATACAGCTGTGTAATCGGAAAAAAACGTGAAAGTTAATATTTTATAAGTGAGGGTTAGGGTTTGGGCTGTTTCGAATCTGATGTTGTATTGAATTTCAAGGTCCCTGTAGCGGAAAAGTGAATTTACGCCGGACTGAAAATTGTTTTTTGGAATCTACTGTCCATAAGCTTTCTATCGATGCCTTACTCGTGTAACAAAATATAGTTCATGAAGAAACAAAGCAGGTTATTCCAGGTGCATAATCGTAAAAGTCGTGAAAGTTAATATTATGCGGTTTCGAACCTTGCGTTCTATTGATTTTCAAGGCGTCTGCAGCAGAAACTGGAATTTGTCACGGTCGGACAATTGTATTTTTAGAATCTACGGTCCATAAACTTTCTATCGATTCCTTATTCGTGTATCAACAGATAGTCCATGAAGAAACAAAGCAGGTTATTCCAGGCGTATAATCGAATTGAAAAAGACGTAAAAGTTAATATTATGCTGTTTCCAACCTGATGTTCTATCGATTTTTAGGCCCTTGTAGCAGAGACTTGAATTTGGGCTAGCGTGAAAGTCGTATTTCTGGAATCTACGGTTCATAAGCTTTCTGTCGTTGCCCATAGATATCTCATATACACTAGATAGCGCATCTCGGAATACAAAACTGAAGCCAAAAATCTCAGCGGTTTCCCCCATGAAAATAGGCGGCGGCCATATTGGTCGTTCCCACTCATCAATGAAATGCTATAGAAAATACTATACTTTTCGAGGCTTTTTTGCATTTCTGGATTAAAAATACCTTTTTGAGGTACGTTCGCCTTGAAATCGCAGCTTTTTTGGAAAAGGGTACAAGAAAAAAACATTAATTGGCGATGTTGTTGTCTTTGAATCGCATTTTAAAGCTAAAAATTTCGAATTACGACATTGGCTTTATATACTTGTTTTGAATCTGTGAGTGATTCTCTGGTGAAGTATCGTCTAATCAATACATGTACTTACGGTTTCTGGCACCACTTTATGGAAATGGAAGTTGGTAAGTAACGTTTCGACTATCGGCGTAGGCAGTTTATACTGTAAAAAAACAGAGTCTGCACTTTCAGTTTGGGCAGTTTTCACTCTAAATCTTTAGTGAAACGTTTGAGACAGAGTTTGCACTTTCAGCTTGGGCAGTTTTCACTATAAATCTTTAGTAAAATTATGTTTGAGGCAGAGTCTGCACTTTCAGCTTGGGCAGTTTCATAGTAAATTTTAGTAATATTTAGCTTTCTCTGATACATTCTGTGTAATCACTCACACTGGTGCTTAAAAGGTACAAGTTTATTTAATTTCTTTCTAATTTTTTGTCCAGATGAATTCTCAGTGGTCTTTTTTGCAAGATGGTAAAATTTAACCTCACAGTAACTCTTGATGATGCTCTTGGTCAACTGAAATATAACATGATTTTCACCAACTGGTGAGTCAAAAATATGGTGATCTAGCTCAGTAAAAAGATTGTATATGGACAATGAAGCCAGAACATATGGACAATGAACAATGAAGCCAGAACAGAAGTGGTCAGAGCATATAATTGTCTGCTTTCTGAGAACAGAACAGTATGGACAATGCAACCAGAACAAAAGTGGTCAGAACATATAAACATCTGCTTTTTGGGTGACCACTTTTCTTGATGAACATTTTGTATCAACTGTTTTCATAGTACTTCATCCTTAGGGATGTTTATCATGTTAATGCAAGTCTAATTTCAATCAATATAATAGTATACTGTAAAATTAAACTAAAAATAAATTGCTTACTGATGAAATGTCCTGGGAAGTTTTCTTTTGATTTTTGATTCTGTCACTTGACCCTTCACTATTACTTCTTATAGTTTTTTGAGTTTAATTCAAATTTTTAATTTCAATTGGCACCAAAAGTTCTTCAGGTCTCCAAATTTTTTTTAAAATTGGACATTTTTTAATGATATTTACAGTAACCACTAAACTCAAAAGGCAAAAATTGAGAGTTTATCATGTTTTCAATTCCTGAGAGTACTGGCAAATTTATTTTATTTTTTTAGAAAAGTTTAATTATTGTGCATCTGATGAGTCAAAGAATTAGAAAACACTATTTATACACAAAGTCAAAAGTAATACTTTATTATAACAATAGAATTATTTATACAATAGTGAGTGCAACTATATTTAAGATTATAAAATCTACTGTGCATCAAGCAGTTTATCCCATTGACCTTACAATATACAATAATGCAAGAAGTAATGTGTCTCATTACAAAATAGGGTTTCCCAAAGCAGTTCTAAAATCCAGCTGATTATCAATGACCTATGCTGTTAATAATTACAGTAATTTGGCAGTTTGATTGCTTGAATTAAAAACAAAAGGTCTAGGACTCAACAGAAAGAAATATTTCTTAACATCAAATATTAAAGATAGTTTGAAGCATTCATACAATTGAAGGTTTTAGAAAGTTTGATTATCAACTACATTTACATAAAGCAATATCAATTATGTTATATTGCCTGCGAATATACTAAGTTGCAATTATTCTTCTCTAGCTTCTAACACATTTTAATCTTGATATGATTCCATGGAACTATAAAATAATATATGATATGTTGTATGTATGTAATAAATATACAAATAGTAAGGAGTAAGAACCATTTTTGGTATCAATGTTTTATATATTGACTATTTAAGATTTTAAGTCTATTTTTGCCATTGATAAACTGTGACTAAAATATGTTTTTCAGTGTCGCTGTCTTTTACAAAAGAATATGCAAATACATTCACAATTTTGCCATGAAGCAATGGCGATGGCTCAAAATGTTTTATTTGGAATTGGTGGAACTATATTTATATATACATCAACAATGATGGTTTGTCCATAAGGTTTGTCCTATGGGCGCCCTTCATACGGGTCGACAAATATTGATATTTTCGAAAAAAAAAATTACATTCTGCCTACCCGTTATTCACAATATGAAGCTCCAACGATCTGGCATCATTTACAACAAGTTGCACACTTGAAAAACCAAAATTGACTGCATAAAAGAGGATTTATTGTCAACTTTGTCCATTTCCGCAATACAAAATATACAAATTATCACGCTCCGTGGGAACGACCAATATGGCCGCCGCACGTAAACTGCGACTGCGATCAGGCTTCAATTTTCGCCTGCCTACAGGGTGGGATGCGCTATCTAGTGTATATGAGATATCTATGTCGTTGCCTCATTCAAGCATCACTTGGCCGGACGTGGAAATAAAAGGCAGTTTTTCCAGCTGTGTTATGGAAAAAGACAATAAAGTTTGAATTTTATAAGTGAGGGTTAGGGTTTGGGCTGTCTTGAATCTGATGTTCTGTCCAATTTCAAGGTCCTTCTAGCAGAGACGTGAATTTGTCACGCTCTGAAAATTTTATTTTTAGAATCTACGGTACATAGGGTTTCTACCGATGCCTTACTCGTGTATCAAAAGACAGTCGCTGAAGATAAAAAGCAGGTTATTCCAGGTGCATAATCCAAAAGCACGTGAAAGTTATTAGTGTGCGGTTTCGAACCTTGCGTTCTGTTGATTTTCAAGGCCTCTGCAGCACAAACTGGAATTTGTCACGGTCTGAAAATTTTATTTTTATAATCTAAGGTCCATAAGCTTTCTATCGATGCCTTACACGTGTATCGAAAGACAGTTCATGAAGAAACATAGCAGGTTATTCCAGGTGCATAATCGAAAAGACGTGAAAGTTAATATTATTGCTGTTTCCAACCTGATGTTCGATCGATTTTCAAGGCACTTGCAACAGAGATTTGAATTTGGGCTAGCCTGATAGTTGTATTTCTGGAATCTGCGATGTGCAGTTTTACCAGCTGTGTAATCGAAAAAGACGATAAAGTTAGAATATTATAAGTGAGGGTTAGGGTTTGGACTGTCTTGAATCTGATGTTCTATCGAATTTCAAGGTCCCTGTGGCGGAGTCGTGAATTTGTTACGGTCTTAAAATTGTATTTTTAGAATCTAGGGTGCATAGGCTTTCTAGCGATGCATTACTCGTGTATCAAAAGTCCATGAAAACAAAAAGCAGGTTATTCCAGGTGTATAATCGAAAAAGACGTGAAAGTTAATATTATGCGGTTACGAACCTTGCGTTCTATTGATTTCAAGCCCTCTGCAGCACAAACTGGAATTTGTAACGGTCTGAAAATTGTACTTTTAGAATCTACAGGGCATAATCTTTCTAACCATGCCTTACTCCTGTATCAAAATCCAGTTCATAAAGAAACAAAGCAGGTTATTCCAGGTCCATAATCGAAAAAGACGTGAAAGTTAATATTATGCGGTTTCGAACCTTGCGTTCTATTGATTTTCAAGGCCTCTGCAGCACAAACTGGAATTTGTCGCGGTCTGAAAAATATATTTTTAGAATCTAAGTGCCATAAGCTTTCTAACAATGCCTTATTGCTGTATCAAACTCCAGTTCATGAAGAAACAAAGCAGGCTATTCCAGGTGCATAATAAAAAAAGACGTGAGAGTTAATATTATGCGGTTTCCAACCTGATGTTCTATCGAATTTCAAGGCCCTTGTAGAAGCTAGAGACTTGAATTTGGGCTTGCCTAAAAGTTGTATTTTTGGAATCTAAGATACATAAGCTTTCTGTCGATGCCTCATTCGTGCGTCACTAGGCCGGACGTGGAGATAAAAAGCAGTTTTTTCAAGTTGTGTGATCGAAAAAGACGATAAAGTTAGAATTTTATAAGTGAGGGTAGGGCCTGGGCTGTCTCGATTCAGATGTTCTATTGAATATCAAGTTCCCTGTAGCGGAGATGTGAATTTGACACGGTCTGAAAATTGTATTTTTAGAATCTACGGTACATAGGCTTTCTACCGATGCCTTACTCGTGTATCAAAAGACAGTCCATGAAGATAAAAAGCAGGTTATTCGAGGTGCATAATCGAAAAAGACGTGAAAGTTAATATTATGCGGTTTCGAACCTGACGTTCTATTGATTTTCAACGCCTCTGCAGTACAAACTGGAATTTGTCACGGTCTGAAAATTGTATTTTTAGAATCTACAGGCCAAAAGCTTTCTAACGATGCCATACTGCTGTATCAAAATCCAGTTCATGAAGAAACAAAGCAGGTTATTCCAGGTGCATATTAAAAAAAGAGGTGAGAGTTGATATTAAGCGGTTTCCAACCTGATGTTCTATCGAATTTCAAGGCCCTTGTAGCAGAGACTTGAATTTGTTCTTGCCTAAAAGTTGTATTTTTGGAATCTAAGATACATAAGCTTCCTGTCGATGCCTCATTTGTGCATCAATAGGCCGGATGTGGAGATAAAAAGCAGTTTTTTCAAGTTGTGTGATCGAAAAAGACGATAAAGTTACAATTTTATAAGTGAGGGTTAGGGTCTGGGCTGTCTCGATTCAGATGCTCTTTTGAATATCAAGTTTCCTGTAGCGGAGACGTGAACTTGCCACCGTCTGAAAATTGCATGTATAGAATCTACGGTCCATAAGCTTTCTATCGATTCCTTACTCGTGTATCAAAAGACAGTTCATGAAGAAACAAAGCAGGTCATTCCAGGTGCATAATCGAAAAAGGCGTGAAAGTTAGAATTTTATAAGTGAGGTTTAGGGTATGGGCTGTCTTGAATCTGATGTTCTATTGAATTTCAAGGTCCCTGTGGCGGAGACGTGAATTTGTCACGATCTGAAAAGTGTATTTTCAGAATCTACGGTACGTAGGCTTTCATCCGATGCCTTACTCGTGTATCAATAGACAGTCCATGAAGGTAAAAAGCAGGTACCGGTTATTCCAGGTGCATAATCGAAAATGACGTGAAAGTTAATATTATGCAGTTTCGAACATTGCGTTCTATTGAATTTCCAGGCCTCTGCAGCACAAACTGGAATTTGTCACGGTCTGAAAATTGTATTTGCAGAATCTACGGTCCATAAGCTTTTTATCGATACCTTACTCGTGTACCAAAAGACAGTTCTCGAAGAAACAAAGCAGGTTATTCCAGGTGCATAATCGAAAAAGACGTGAAAGTTAATATTATGCGGTTTCCAACCTGATATTCTATCGATTTTCAAGGCTCTTGTAGCAGAGACTTGAATTTGGGCTAGCCTGAAAGTTGTATTTCTGGAATCTGCCATCCATAAGCTTTCTGTCGATGCCTCGTTCGTGCATTACTAGGCTGGACGCGGAGATAAAAAGCAGTTTTTTCAAGTAGTGTAATCGAAAAAGACGATAAAGTTAGAATTTTATATGTGAGGGTTAGGGTTTGGGCTGTCATGAATCTGATGTTCTATTGAATTTCAAGGTCCCTGTGGCGGAGACGTGAATTTGTCACGGTCTGAAAAGTGTATTTTTAGAATCTACGGTACGTAGGCTTTCATCCGATGCCTTACTCGTGTATCAATAGACAGTCCAAGAAGATAAAAAGCAGGTACCGGTTATTCCAGGTGCAGAATCGAAAATTACGTGAAAGTTAATATTATACGGTTTCAAACCTTCCTTTATATTGAATTTCAAGGCCTCTGCAGCACAAACTGGAATTTGTTACGGTCTGACAATTGTATTTTTAGAATTACGAGCCATAAGCTTTTGATTGAAGCCTTACTCGTGTACCAAAAGACAGTTCAAGAAGAAACAAAGCAGGTTATTCCAGGTGCATAATCGAAAAAGACGTGAAAGTTAATATTATGCGGTTTCCAACCTGATGTTCTATCGATTTTCAAGGCTCTTGTAGCAGAGACTTGAATTTGGGCTAGCCTGAAATTTATATTTCTGGAATCTGCCATCCATAAGCTTTCTGTCGATGCCTCATTCGTGCATCACTAGGCTGGACGCGGAGATAAAAAGCAGTTTTTCAAGTTGTGTAATCGAAAAAGACGATAAAGTTAGAATATTATAAGTGAGGGTTAGGGTTTGGGCTGTCTTGAATCTGATGTTCTATTGAATCTCAAGGTCCCTGTGGCGGAGACGTGAATTTGTCGCTGTCTGAAAATTGTATTTTTAGAATCTACGGTACATAGGCATTCAACCGATGCCTTACTCGTGTATCACTAGACAGTCCATGAAGATAAAAAGCAGGTTATTCCAGGTGCATAATCCAAAATGTCGGGAAAGTTAATATTATGCGGTTTCGAACCTCGCGTTCTATTGAATTTCAAGGCCTCTGCAGCACAAACTGTAATTTGGCACGGTCTAAAAATTGTATTTTTAGGATCTACGGTCCATAGGCTTTCTGTCGATGCCTTACTCGTGTACCAAAACACAGTTCATGAAGAAACAAAGCAGGTTATTCCAGGTGCATAAACGAAAAAGACGTGAAAGTTAATATTATGCGGTTTCGAACCGTTGCGTTCTATTGATTTTCAAGGCCTCTGCAGAACAAACTGGAATTTGTCACGGTCTGATAATTGTGTTCTTAGAATCTACGATTCACAAGCCTTCTATCGATGCTTTACTCGTGTACTAAAAGACAGTTCATGGAGAAACAAAGCAGGTTATTCCAGGTGCATAATCGAAAAAGACGTGAAAGTTAATATTATGCGGTTTCCAACCTGATGTTCTATCGATTTTCCAGGGCCTTGTAGCAGAAACTTGAAATTGGTCTGGCCTGAATGATGTATTTCTGGAATCTGCAATCCATAAGATTTCTGTGGATGCCTCATTCGTGCATCACTAGGCTGGACGTGGAGATAAAAAGCAGTTTTCTCAAGTTGTGTAATCGAAAATGACGATAAAGTTAGAATTTTATAAGTGAGGGTTAGGGTTTGGGCTGTCATGTATCTTTAATCTTTAATCTTTACTCTTTAATAAAATTTCTTCTAACACGGTAGCCTATATATTCAGTATAATATATACAGTCTGTTTTTCAAAGGGCCGTGCTATATAGTATTAATTAAACACACATTAACTATGGATATTTACAGTTAATTACAGCACATAATTATTACACACTCCATTAATTTCGGAAATGCATTATACATTATTCATGTGCAAGTTTAAGGGTTAAACGCCGTTTGAAATCGGGTAAAGATAAATCCTGAATGTTATTAGTTACTTCATCCGATAATTCGTTCCACCCTTGTGCTGCTCTATAAGAGAAACTTCTTTTAAGAAAGTTAGTTCTTGGTTTAGGCAAAGATAGTTTAACATTATTACTTCTTAGAGAATAATTACTATTTTCGCATCTCGTGAAGAAATTCTGCACATA